GAGTGCTTGCCCAGCGTGGGTTGTGTCCTCAACACTAACTACATAAACCAGATGTGGTGGTGGAGGCCTGCTGCATTGAGACACTACCTCAAGGAAACGGGGAAGGGGTGTGCTCAGTGTATAAGGTACTTGCTACGCAAGCATGAGGACCTCCTGTCTTCAGCACCCACGTAAAATGCTGGGCATGGCCACGTGCATCTGAACCCAGTGCAGGGGGACTCAGACCCAAGACAGGAGAGTCCTGGAGCTCACTGGCTATCAGTCTATCGGAAACACGTTCAGTGAGAGACCCTGTCTCAAGAAATAAGGTGGAGAGGGACTGAGGGAGACACCTGATGTCAGCCTCTGGCCTCCACGGGCACCTACAAGGGGGCATGTACCTGAGCACACACCTGCACACACCACATGCATACGCAATTAAAAAAAGACACAAAGGAGAAAACCAAAAGAACAGCAACAGATTTGAAGTTCTTGGCCAAAGATCAGAGGTTTGTCCTTTCTGAGCGCCTGGCTTACTGCTTCATCTGGGTGAACTGTGGAAAGATTCCTGCCTTCAGGTCATGCACAGCCGTCGGCCTGCTGGCTCTGGCTCACCGCAACAGGCAAGACGAAGCTCCTTGTTCGTTTCCAACCTCTGCTGAGCCGTTTCTAGCTGATTTAGAAGACTAAACAGGGTGTAGCTGCCCCCCCATCCCAGTCTGAAGGCCACACCCTTGGCTGGATCCGGTCTGTGAACAACCTCACAACTGAGCTCTTTATTATCATTTTTTTCTGTTAGAGATGGAACTCAGAGCCTCAGAAATGCTGGGTAAGTTCTCTGCCACTGAGCCATACCCTGGCCTGTAACTGAGTTGTTGCTTTTTTTAATTTTGGTTTTTTTTTTAAATCTTATTTTTAAAAATTTGTTATTTTACGCATATGAGCATATGCATACTCCTGCACATATGTAAGTGCACCGGTGTTGTGCAGTGCCTGTGGAGGACAGAAAAGGGGGTGTTTGATCCCCTGGAACTGGAGTTACAGACAGTTGTTAGCCTCCATGTGGGTGCTGAGATTTGAATCTAGGTCTTCTGCAAGAACAGCCAGTGCTCTTAACCGTGCTGAGCCATATCTCTAGACCCCCTATGTTTGCTCTGTTTTGTTTTTCATTATATATGTACATGTGTATGTATGGTATTTGTGTATGGTATGTGTCTGTGACGTGTGTGCATGTGTGTATGTGTACACATGGGTGTATGTGTCCATGCATGCCTATGTAGAGGCCAGATGAGAGCATCAGGTGTCCTGCTCTGTCACTTCTGCCTCATCCCTTTGAGTCAGGGTCTCTCACTGAACCTGAGCCAGGCTAGTGGCCAGCCAGCCCCAGTGATCCTCCTGCTCCTGTCCTACACAGTGCTGGGTTACAGGCAGGCCCAGCCCTGCCCAGCTTTTACGTGAGTGCTGAGGATTTGAACTCAGGTCCTCGTGCTTACACAGCAAGTGCTCTTACCACTGAGCCATCTCGCCAGCCTCCTCCTTCTTTAAGTTTTGTCTTTTGTTTTGAGTCAAGGTCTCACTATATATAGCCCTGACTGGCCTGGAACTCGCTATGTAGACCAGGCTAAGCTCAAACTCACAGAGATCCTCCTGAGCGCTGGGATTAAAGGTGGGCACTACCACACCCTGTGCCTTTTTCTTTTTTTTTTTCCCCCCCTTTGGTCTTTTTGATACAGGGTCTCCCTGTAGCCCCAGCTGGCCTGGATTTGCTATGGAGACCAGGCTGGCCCTGAACTCACAGAGATCTGCCTGCCTCTGCCTCCTGAGTGCTGGTATTAAAGGTGTGTGCCACCACACCTGGCTAACCCTTCATTTTTTAAAGACAAGTTTTCATGCAGTTCAGGATGGCCTCAAACTCAACATGTGCTGAGGCTGACCTTGAACTTCTGATTCTTCTACCTCGGCCTCCAGAATGCCGGGCTTACAGGTGTGTGCCATCATGACTGACTTTTTGTGTATGGTTTGTGTATAAGAGAAGTGGGGCCACATTCACGATGTAGAGGTCAGAGAACAACTTTCTGGCCTCAATTCTTTCCTGTACCTTTATGTAGATTCTAGGAATCAACTTGGGTTGTCGGGCTTTCTTTGCAAGTGCTTTATCCATTAACCCATTTCCACAGTCCTTGGGCTTGTTTTTTTTGTTTTTTTAATTTTTTGTTTTTAATTAATTAATTAATTAATTTTAGTCTTTTTGAGACAGGGTCTCCCTGTAGCCCCAGCTGTCCTGGAACTCACTATGTAGACCAGGCTGGCCTTGAACTCACAGAGATGCACCTGCCTCTGCCTCCCAAGAGCTGGGACGCCCAGCTGGTTTCTTGACTTTTGAGATAAGGATCTTGTTTGTATTCCCAGCTGATCTGGTACTCACTAGACTAAACTGGCCTCAAATTCAAGGTAATCTTCATGCCTTAGCTTCCTGAGTGCTGGGATTCCAGGTGTGTCCACCATACACAGCAAAATGGGGGTTTTCTTTTTTGAAGGGAGGGAGATGAAGGGATTTGAAACAAGGTGTCACAACATAGCCCAGGCTGACTTGGCTTCTCTCCCTATGAAGCAGAGGTTGGCCAAAAACTTAGGGCAATTTTCCTGCCTCAGCCTCCCATCCACTGGGGTTGAGGCCTGGCTCTGGCACTGAGCCATTTGACAAGGCAGATGGCTACCTACAGCAGATCCTCAGAGCCAGGGCAAGGTGGCTTCTGTTCTCAGCAAACAGGGCACTTGCCCAGCTCTCCCAACCCGCAACCAGAGATAAAACATGCTTTGTGACAACCTGTAACCGCCAAACCTGTCCCTGGGAGTGACCTATCTTTATCTAGTGGGGCTAAGCCTGGTCTCCTGACCCTGTGCTCTGGAAATATAAGCATCCCCTTATCAAGCACATCTTTTGTCTAGATTGTAAATGGGTAAAAGGTTTTCAAGCAGGGACTGGAAAGATGGCTCAGCAGTTAAGAGCACTGGTTGTCTTTTTGAGACAGGGTCTCCCTGTAGCCCCAGCTGGCCTGACACTCACTATGTAGACCAGACTAGCCTCTGGTCTCACAGAGATCCACCTGCCTCTGCCTCCTGAGTGCTGGAACTAAAGGTATGTACCACCATGCCTGGCTGTAAAATATTTTTAAAAAAGAAGTCCTCAAACAGGAAGGACTGTCCCTTCTGTCATCTAGATAGGAAGGAGGGATGGTAGAGAGAGAGATTCTGGGAGGGAGATGGCTCTGTTGATCAAGTGCTTACCAGGCAAGCATGAGTACCTGAGTTCCTATCCTCGGAACCCAAATAAAAAGCTAGATGTGGAGGTGTGCACCTGTGACCCCAGTGCTGACAAGTCGGTGACAGGTGGCTCCCTGGAGCGCACTGGCCAGCCAGGCTAGATGAATTGATGAGCTCCTGCTTCTGTGAGAAGCCCTGACTCAAAAAGTAACATGGCCGAAGGGCTGGAGAGATGGCTTAGTGGTTATGCTCACATACTGGTGTAGCGTAGGACTCAGGTTTAGTTCCCAGCACCCACTTTGGGCAGTTCACAACTGCAGAATAAAGGGATCCAACAACCTCTTCTGAACTCCATGGGCACCTACTCATGCACATAGACACACACATATACACGTAATTAAAAATACTAAAAATAAACCTTCTTTAAAAAAGTGATATTGGGCGTGGTGGCGCATGCCTTTAATCCCAGCACTCAGGAGACAGAGGTAGGCGGATCTCTGTGAGTTCAAGGCCAGCCTGGTCTACATAGTGAGTTCCAGGACAGCTGGGGCTACAGGGAGACCCTGTCTCAAAAAGACCAAAAGGGAGGGAAAAAAAAAGCAACATGGCTGGGCCAGGAAGATGGCTCAGCGGGCCAAGCCTGATGATCTGACTTTGATCCCTGGGACTCACATGATAGAAAGAATGAACTAACTCCAGCGAGTTGTCCTCTGACCTCCACACACATACTGTGGCACACACACACAATCAATCAATCATCAATCAATCATTCAACCAACCAGCTAGGCAGCGAGTTGTCCTCTGACCTCCACACACATACTGTGGCACACACACACACACAATCAATCAATCATCAATCAATCATTCAACCAACCAGCTAGTCAGTAAATGCAATTAAAAAAAGAAACTGGGGCTGGAGAGATGGCTCAGCGGCCAAGAATACCGGCTATTCTTGCAGAAGACCTGGGTTCGAATCCCAGCACCCACATGGCAGCTAACAACTGTCCATAACTCCAGTTCCAGGGGATCCGACAGCCTCTTCTGGTGTCCACAGACATTGCACAACATGGGTGCACTTACCTACATGCAGGCAATACACACATGCACATAAAAAATAAAAGTAATGAAATATTTGAAAAAAAGAAGAAACTGAAAAAGAATATGGACAGCAATGGAGGAAGTCACCTGACATAGGCTGCTGGTCTCCACATGCAGGTGCGAACATGTGCTCCTCCCACACCCACACAAATGCACGTGCCCACATGAACAGGTACACATAAAAACAGTCTGAATTGGGAACTGGGTCTCTGTGCTCCTGCTAGTGGCTTCTGGAAGAATCTCTCTCCTCACCTGCCGACTTAACAGAGGCAAACCTGCCTGATGGTTGAGGGTCCAGCACGTGGAGCCTGGGCCTAAGCACAGGTGCTTGGTTCTTGGGCCGGCTACCTGCCCTGACCCTTTGGAAGGTGGGCACGGGATCAGTGACATGCTCCACAGACCGAGGCCTGCCACCCGGTGTTGTAGATGAGCAAACAGGTTTGAAACAGATTTGTAAGTCTGATGCTTTGTCGGAGAAGGAAAGGTCCAGAGGCAGGACTGGAGTGGGGACATTTCCAAGTCTCTGTTCTGCACCTCGGGCAGAGAAGTCTCTGGTTTCCGTCTTCACTTAGCAGTAGGGGCTGTGGGCGGGGGAGTGGGTGGGGGCCCGACTGCAGGCCTCCTCCTCCAGGCTAGGCCCGCCTCCTGCTCCTCTCCCTAGGCTGCAGTGGGGCGGTCACACCCACAGTCGTGCTGTCCCGGAGATCAAGCAGGCTGGCTGCGATGCCGTCCCTCAGCCTGGCGATGGCCAGCAGCCAGGTGCTCCCCGCCTTCCTGCTCTGTAGCACGCTGCTGGTCCTCAAGATGTACGCGGTGGCTGTCATCACGGGCTACACTAGGTTGCGGAAGAAGGTATGTGCCATGGAGTGGGGGAGTCAGCAAGCACCCAGGGGGCTTTTTCCCTGCAAAGAAAGTATGGGAACTGAGGTGGCCAAGTTGTGTGGGGTCAGAGTGTGTGAGAGCTGGTCGGAGTGCCCCGCAGCCCTGCTGGATGCTGGCTTGGGCTTCGGCTCCCTCACCCTCTTCGTGCACTACGGTCCCCGGGTGAGGAGCATGGGATCTGACCATGCAAAGTCTCCTGACCTGGCAGCTTCCCAGCAGGAAGATCTCATATCTGGGTAAAGTGGGAACAGGCCAAACAGGAGCCCAAGAAGTCAGTGGAAATTCCCAGCTCCCCGTGGATGGTGCGTACAGACCCGCAGGGAGGCTAGGTCTCAACAAGGAGTGCTCACAGCAGACACTCCCCCATCCCGGTCCTTGCATTGAAATGGCAGTAAAAGGGCCTAGACGGAGCCAGAGCAAGCAGCTGGGGCACCTTGACCCGGTCCTCACGCACTGAATGGCTGTCAACAAAGCTGGAGCCATGCTGGAAGCTTCCAGAACACAGCTCAGCCTGAGGCACCTGTTGCTTAGAGGAGTGCTTCCTGGGAACTGTACTTTGTCCAGCTCTAAGGAAGGCAGGATGGAGTGTGGGCCCCTGGGCCAGAGTTCCAGCTAGGTCCATTCAGCTCCTGGGCAGGTACTGACAGGATTAAAGGCAGGGTAGAGCTGGGGACAGGAAACCTGGAGGCCACCACATACTGATCTTTTCTGATTCTGCTTAGGCCTGCCCTGGGATGTAGGACACAGGCACCAGGCAGGCACAGCTGCATTCTCTTGTGTTTTGCCCTGCTGGGGCCCCAAAGCTGACCACTAAATTGGACACATGCCTTGTGGAGAGTCCAGTGTCCCCTTTGAACTTGAGTGTCTGGCCCCAGAGCCCTGGCCTGTCTTCCTCCTGGCCACCTTTCTCCTAAATCAGAGATGGAGGGCTTTCTTCTCTGAGGTCTCTCTGTGCTTACTGTCAGCCAGGAGGAGGCGTCAGGGGAGCATCTCCACTAGAAAGGATGGATGCAAGGTCAGGGTCCTCCCCTCTACCAGCCTGGGAACCTCAGGCAGACTGGAAGCTCAGCCCTCTGTGCACCTGGGATCGCAACCTCAGTGTCAGGGGACATCAGTGGTAAATGCTGCACCCGCACTGGTCCTTAGGACTTACCTTAAGGCAGCCACAGGTCTCTCTTCCTGGGAATTCCTGTGGAAGCCTGGGGCCCTTGCTGTACCAAAATGGCTTCCAACTTCCAGACACAGCTGACTCCTGGGGCTTTTCTCCCTGCAGTTTCATCCCAGACTGGCTATGAGGTCCTTTGAAAGGGGTCACACAGCTGGGCCATCAGAGTTGGTGACTTGCTGACTTAAGAGCCAGCTGGGATGGGGGCCAGCACGCCTTTGATCTCAGGACTTGAGAGACAGAGGCAGGTGGATCTCTGTGAGTTCGAAGCCAGCCTGGTCTACATAGTAAGTTCCAGGCCAGCTGGGGCTAGAGAGGAAATCCTGTCTCAAAAAACCCCCCTCCAAAATGAAAAAAAAAAAGAGAGCCAGCTGGGAGGAATTCTGGGTGTGTTCCTATCCATCCCTTCAATGGCATGGGGTAGGGCTGCATTTGCCTCCAGGGAAGGGCAGGAGCAGGCCCACTGGCAGCCAGACGCTCTCAAGACTGTCAAAAGTTAAGCCCTGGGTTCACCGCTGGGTGAGCAGTTTATAAAACCTGATTCAGGCCTCAGTGAGGGGTTGAAGGGGTGGCTTTGCCTGGGTCCCAACAGGGAATGATGTGGCGTTGAGTCATAGGCAGGGGCCCTCCAAGACCAGAGTCTGACCTTGGGCCTCTGCTCGCTCTCCCCCTAGAGCAGTGTCCTCCTCCTTTGCTGTGGCTCAGGGGCTCGGATTCCCTTCGTCCTGAGTCTAGATGGGGAAGTCGAGGTACAGGGAAGCTCAGAAGCCTACAGACTTTGGTATTGGTATGGAGCTGAATGGCCACTGGGAACCCTGTCCTCACACGAGCGCAGACTCGGTGCCCTGACATCCTTCTCACGGAAGGTGACTCTCAGATGATGTGTTTCAGGCTTTTGCCAACCCTGAGGATGCCCTAAAACGTGGAGGCCTCCAGTACTACAGGAGTGACCCGGATGTGGAGCGCTGCCTCAGGTGAGTACCGACTGGCCTGAGGTGTGGCCACAGAGATGACTGCTACCTGTCCGTTTGGAACTTTTGAACACTGGGGGACACTGAGGGGGCCTGAGGGTCTTTGTGAGTGTGATTGAACTCAGATTCTCTTTATTTATTCATTACATTAGTCTTAGAAAAATAAACCATGACTCAGAATTACAAAGTTACTTCAAGGGTGGTGGTACACACCTGTAATCCCAGTACCTGGGAATTACAGGCAGGAGGATCACTAAAAATTCAAGTCCAAGCTGGGCGTGGTGGTACACACCTTTAATCCCAGCACTCGGGAGGCAGAGGCAGGCGGATCTCTGTGAGTTCAAGGCCAGCCTGGTTTACATAGTGAGTTCTAGGCCAGCTGGGACTACAGGGAGACCCTATCTCCAAAAGACCAAAAAGAAAAAGAAAAAGAAAAAAAAAAGAATTCAAGTCCAGCCTGAGCTACAGGATGAGATCCAGGTCGGCCTAGACTGTAGAGTGAGATTCATTTGAAATAAACACGAGCCAGGCAAGATGGCTCAGGCCTGTGATCCCAGCCCTTGGAAGGTCAAGGCAGGAGTGTCAGGAGTTCAAGACCAGCCTCTGCTATATAAGCGAGTTCAAGAGCAGCTTGAGCTATGTGTGTCCCTGTCTCAACACCCCATACCCATGCGAAAATAAATAAATTAATTAAATAAATACAAAAGGTATTCAGTGAAAATCTAGTCCATCTCACCTCTGACTACAGGCCAGGGGCCAGGGCTGTGACAAGGGTTCCAGGGTCATCTTCCCCTGGAGATTCTGCACTTAGAGAAGAGTTACCGTTGTCCTGACGCTCTGAGCTGAGCTGTTTCTGTGCCAGACATGATTCCTACCTTGTGCTGTAGAGTTTTCATGCTTGCTCTGATGAACAGGTAGACCAGGCTATCCTACCAGTTTCCTCTTCGGGCACTGAGCTGTTCTCACCCTGGCTCTGTTATGGACAGAGCGCAGCGGTACCTCATTCATCTACTTTGTGAGAATGTGAACAGAATGATATGATGTGGCCAAGAGCAAGGTGTGTGGTCCCATGTGCCCAGATCTCCCTCCGGTGCAGTGTGACTCTGTCTGCCAGCTCAGGGTATGTGCGGACTTTTGGGTCAATCCCTGCTAGGATGAAAGGTAAAAATGTCTAATGTGGTTTTGTGTGAAAATGGTCATTTTTTTCATATGGTTAACACCCTCCCAGCATAATGTTAAGATCAGTGTTTCCGGGGCTAGAGAGATGGCTCAGCAGTTATGTGCCCTGGCTGTTCTTGCCGAGGATCCGGGTTAGATTCCCAGCACCCACATGGTGGCTAACAACCGTCTGTATCTCTAGTTCCAGGGGGCTCACCGCCCTCTTTTGATCTCACTTGGCATTGCACGACATGGGTGCACTAACACACCTGCAGGCAATACACTCATACACATAAAATAAAATAAAAATAATAAATAGCCGGGCATGGTGGCACACACGTGTGGTCCCAGCACTTGGGAGGCAGAGGCAGGTGGATCTCTGAGTTCAAGGCCAGCCTAGTCTACATAGTGAGTTCCAAGACGCTAGGGCTACAAGGAGACCCTGTCTCAAAAAGACAAAATAATAATAATAAAATTTTTAAAAACTTAAAAAAAAAATCAATGTTTCTTATGAAAAAAATCAGAATTAAGGCCAGATGTAGTGGCACACACCTTTAATCCCAGCACTCAGGAGGCAGAGGCAGTTGAGTCTCTGTGAGTTCCGTGGCTGCATAATGAAACCCTGTCTTAAAAAAAGAAAAAGAAAAATTGGAATTACTCACTGTGGACAGTTGTGTCCTATGGACGATACACAGAAGCAAAGAGGGTGTCTGCTTGGCCCCATCCGTGTTGCTGTCACCACTGTTCTTCCTCTCTGTCTTCTGTGCTGAAATAGTGCATTAAATCAAGCAACCAATAGGTAGGTCCAGTTTGGGGTCCTAATCTTTCTATTACTAGTTTTTTTTTTTTATGTGTATGAATGTATTGCCTGCATGTGTATAAGCGCACCCGTATCATGCAGTGCCTGTGGAGGTCAGGATCCCCTGAAACTGGAGTTAAGGACAGTTCTTAGCCTCCATGTGGGAGCTGGGAATTGAACCCGGGCCTTCTGCAAGAGCAGCCAGTGCTCTTAACTGATAAGCCATGTCTCTAGCCCCTGGGGTTCTGATCTTGTTTGGTGAACATCATCTCATGAGCATCTTCCACAATAGTAAATGTTACTTTAAAATGAGTCTTGAGAGGCAGAGGCAAGTAGCTTTCTGTAAAATCAAGGCCAACCTAGTCTGCATATTGAGTTCCAGGCCAGCTGGGGCTAACAGGTAGACACCTTGTCTTTAAAAAAAAAAAAAAAATTTTGGGCCAGCAAGATGGATCAGTGGGTCAGGGTACTTGCCACCAAGTCTGATGACCTGAGTTTGATCCCTGGGACCCACATAGTGGAAGGAGAGAACCAACTCTCACAAGCCTTTGGCCTCCACATATCAGTGCTTTCATGTGCCTGCACACACACACACACACACACACACACACACACACACACACCCCAATAAATAAACATAATTTTTTTTAATTTTTACAAAAACTTTATTGAGAATTTCACACATGCATATAAGGTGT